TGGCATGAGCCCCCTCCCCGGAGGGGATGAGGGACAAGTGTTGTCCTCACCTGACAAGCTCGATGAATCTCTCTCTGGGGGCTTCACTCACATCCTCATCGTTGATGGCCAAGATCTGGTCTCCTGGCAGGAGTTTATCCTCAGAGGGGCCGCCTGCCAGGAGAGAGGGTCAGGGCCAACCCAGGCATCTCGGAGCTGCGGGGTGGAGGGGAAGCAGGAGGGTCCCATGCATCCCCAAAGCATTTGCCCCTGTGGGTATGTGGCTGTGGAGCACACCCTGCAGGCCCACAGGAGGGCACAGGAGGAGACAGGAGCCCAGGGAGGGGTCCCACCGGGGAAAGATGCCACTGTGCTTCCCGGCACGCCGTGTCCGTGCCCGGGGACCACCCCCACCCCCTGCCTACCTGCTGCCACCGACCGCACCACCACCGGCCTCTCGCTGCCAGCCACGAAGCCGAATCCGTAGAGGGGGTGGCGCTGGACCGTCACCTGTCGGAGCGTGTCCGAAGGCAGCTGCCCACATTCCATATCATCGCCACCGCGCTCCTCCGGCATCACATGGCTGCGCTGCGGGGCGGAGGGACAGGCTGTCACACACCCCGCCACAGCGGCCCTCCCCGCTCCCACCGAGCCCCCTGCGACCTGCAGGGCAGCCCCTGCCAGCACCACCAGTCCCAGCAGCTTCCTGGGACATCCACAGCCCTCCCCTGCAGAGTGGCACTGCTCAGTGCCTGTCCTTGCCAACAGTGCCAGCAGCGTGGGCACGGGGACTTTCGTGGAGATGTCCTCCAAGGGTAAATCATACCACCTGCTCCCAGCATCTCACTGTCTAACCCCTGCTTCAGCATTTCACTTCATTGGATGGAAGACCTGTGTGGGATAAACTACTGGTGGTGTGGCTGTGGACATTCCCTGAGGGATGGCACTGCTGTGAGGTTCAGAGGGGACAGTGGCCCTGGCACAACAAGAGGGTTGGCTCTGCCGCTCTGCTGAGGTTTAAGAGCAAACTCAAGTGTTGGCTTTTTCATGCTGTGTAACACGGCTGTACCATATTAGAGATAAATGGAAACAAGTTCAGCCAGTCTAAAAACTGGGATTAAGGCAGGCTCAGCCATGGCACTTCAACCCAGTCTCCACCACCAGCCCAGGGACTCCTCAAAGCACTGACAACCTGAGCACCCATCCCAGAGCAAGGTCACGTCAAACCTGCCCTTGGCATCCCGGAGCAATGCCAGCCGTGCCTCCAGGCTGCTCAGCAGGGCTGTGAGCTTGAGATGAGGGAGCAATCCCAGCGCCATCAGGGAGGCCAAGGAGCACAGCACAGATGGCAACAGGCACAGCCACAGCCAGAAAACCGAAGTGACGAACACGCCGCTGTTTCTGTGCTGCTCATTGACTGATCCCGTCCAGACTATTTAGTCTATTTCAAAAAGATCCTTCCCGGCCTCTTGACAACACTCCAGTTGTTTCACCTCTTGTCAGTTTAGAATTTGAGGCATCATCCATCTCATGCTATCTCGTCTGCGTTTCTGACGCCCCCCACCCGCTCCCAGCGCCGCATGTTGGCTCCACCACAGAGCCAAGGGGGGCGGCTCGAGGGGCTGGAAGGGGATGGGAGATTCTGGCAGCTCCACACCAGCACACACTGCTTTGGGCTTGAGCACATCACTGCCAGCAAAGACAGCCCTGTGCCCAGCCTGATCCCCCCAGTGACTGTCTTAGTTTAACAAGATTACAACCTTGAAATTAGGAAGAAACAGATTGGGGGGGAGGTGGGGGGGAAGGGGGGATGACGACACCGGGAAAAAATTCCAACATCTTTTTTTCAAACCTATGACAGTGACCTACCCAAAATCTTGTAAGGGAGCAGAGCCATGTGTCCCATGGGAGCCAAGGAGAGCTCTGAGCACCAGGTGCCTCTGCCCAGGGTCAGGGATACAGCGCTGGCCATGGGTGAGCTGTGCTCTGTGGCGATGGGGTGTCACCACAGCCACGTCCACAGTGACCCATTCCCAGTGCCCCCATGGACAGGTACCCATGACTTTCCTCTCCCTTGTGCAGCTCCATGGCTGGTGAAGCAAAACAGTGAGACCTGGGGAAGGGAACTGCCAAGGAGAAGAAAGGTGTGGGCATCTCCTGGGGCAGGGAACCCATCAGCAGCCCCAGCAGGAGCAGAGCCAGCTGCATCACCAGGAGAGTGCAGCTGTGGGGAAGCACAGGCGACACCCTCTCCCCTGTGACTGTGTCTGTGCTGCCTCATTAACTGCTCTGCTACTCCCATGAGCATTTAAAAGAATAACAGTAACAACTACAAAAAAAAAAAAAAAAAAACCAAACAAACCAAATACACAATTCAACCAATTTTCTCAACCAAACGTTATCCAAAGCCATTGTGTGCAGCTGAAAAGGGGACTGAATGTAGCACTGCGTCTCCACAGGCCCGGCATGGCCGGGAGGAACACCTGGAATGTGCAGAGATGGAGCTGGCTGCCACTAGACAGCACCACTCCCTGAGCTGCTGGCTTCCCAGGGGACACTCCTGCTTTCATCCCCCCTGCACTGCTCACAGCAATTCCAGCCCCCACATCCACAGGCCCCTGCAGCACACGGACAGGAGGATGAGCAGCAGGGCACAAAGCACTGGGATGCCTCAGAGAAGTGGCTGAGCTCAGCGGGACTGCTCCGGGGAAACAGAGGCAGGGGTTTGCTCACCAGGCCACAGCAAAGCGGATGACAAGTGGCAGACCAGAGCTGCCCACTCAGAGCTGTTGTGCCCCCAGATCTGTCCTTTAGTGTGCAGTCTGGGGGTCGGTCTCACCCTCGCTCCTCCCCACGGAACCCGCAGCCGAGGCACCACCGATGGCCACCCAGGGACAGCGGGCTCTCAACGCAGCCGAATTACCATCAGAAAAGGTTAGCCGGGAAATCTTTGCAGCTTAAACAGACAAAAGGAAAAGAAAGCACACCTCATTTCAGCCACAACCAGTCTGCCATCCAGCGTCAAAGGGAAGAGGGGAATAAAGAGATGGATACTGACAATAAAAAGTCCTTTACCAGGCTCTTAAGCTGCTCCTCTCCTGATAAGACTTTGACGCTGCAGAAGCATTACCAGGAAATTAAATAAAAGAGGACGAGTGTCCTCGTAAGCAGGACTTATCCACTCCTGGAGAAGCAGTAATGTGCTCAGCAGCAGGTACAACATGCCTTCTCCAGGCTGTGCCTCTGAACTTCCTTCCTGCAGCAGCTCTCCCACGCCGGGCTGGGGCACAACGTGAGCTCACCCTGGACCAGAGCGAGAGGTCAGAGAAAACCATCAGCAGCAGCAGGTAACTCTCTCCCTAACACTGCTAATTGGCTGCACCCCAGGAGCCACACCGTTTGGAAAAACACCTGCCACCCCCTCGGGGAGGGGGGGCACAGACCAGCACTGCCACTGTCCCATCTCAGGGAGCAGATGGCTGTTCATGCCCATTCCCCCACCCTGCCTGTGCCCTTGCCTGCTTGCTGCCCACCCTTAGCCCAAGAGGCTGCACTGCAGCCCTCGTGCCCTTGCACAATGCCACCAAGACACAAAGTCACCGGAAAACAGCTCAGCACAAAATAAATGGAATCCCCAGGAGAAAGCCCCCTGTGCCTGTCAGCAGCAGGAGCCCACCACAGACATGCCCCTGTGGGAGGATGCCTGCCCCTGGCTCTTCACGGTGTCTCGACTGGCATGGCATGAACATCCCTCTCCTGGGGCTTGGGCACTCATCTTCTGTGCTCAGAGCTCAGACACCGATCTGGTCACGCTCTGCCACACAAGGTAAGAGAGACGTCAGCTCTGTCCAGACACTCCCCATCATCATACACCACCAAGGGATGTGCCTTCAGCTTCCTGAGCATCTTCAGACCTCCACGCCACAGAGCAGGGCTGAACCCAGATCCTCATCCCCCTCAGACAGAAAAAGGCAGAGCGGGAGTTACTCCAAAAGCTGACGTGCTCAGTTTTAATTTCCTACTGCAATAAATTCCTGTTTCCTTTGAGAACTTGTTTTCTCCCTTTGCTGTTAGTGCTGACTGGCCATCTGCCACCAAAACAAACCAGTCCCACCTGCCTGCGAGGAGCGATGGTCTCCATCTACCCATCCACTCATTTCCAGCCGCCTTTACCCAGGATGGCACCAGGTGAAAACACTTCCTGCAGCCCAAGAAGGGCTTAGGGCTGAGCTCCAGGATGGGCAGTGGGTATGGAACGTCTTGCTCCTTCTGCAGAGGGGCAGTCTGCAGGGGTGGGTGCCAGCTCTCCTCCCCCTTCCTCTGCTGCCGTGAACAACCCAAGAACAAACAGAGCCCGTGGATTCCTGTCTCTCCTGCTGCAAAACCATGCCCGGCTCCTCCATCTGCCAGGCTGCAGTTGGTGAACGGCTTGCGAGGCATGTGGGATCTCGAGCACGTGTGGCAGCGGCAGGAAATGCTGGGGAGTGGGCCAAGAAGTGTTTTTATGTGGAACATACGGCAGCTCCAGCCTCGTACCCCGGTCTCCATCTCAGATGGAGCCCCGTGGGGCTGCCAGGGCGTGTGGGGACCAACAGCAGGGGCAAAAGCAGAGTGGGCAAAGCTGGCTGGCACAGGACCCATCACAACATGCATCCCTGCTCCATCAGCCCTGTATCTGCACCCAGCAGGCAATCTGGTCACCTTGGAAGATGCCACTTGGCCCATGTTAACGTGTCAGACATTCCCAGCAAGGGCAAACAGATGCTGTACTTCCAGAGCACTGCGAAGCTGCTGACTCGCAGTGCACACAGAGCCTGGCAGCCTGGTAACGGCTGCCCCTGCTCTGGCACTGTTTAACAGCTGACTGGAGCGAGGAGGGCTGGGCTGAGGGGTGCCAGCCTGGCTCAGACCAACATTAAAGGCAGCAGAACGACCCAGGCCTTCACGGCTGAAGTCCTTCATGGTCCCAGCCTGTGACGGCTCTGCCATATGGCCCACGACTTTACCCCCCCTGTGCCCCAGCTGGGATTTGCTGTCAATATTGGGGATCAATTTAAAATCAGCAGAACTGCTCAGAAGGATTTTAGCTTTACCACGGGTGCTGGCTCTGTCCTGAGCTGGAGGGTGAGCCAGGTACGCTGCTGGTACAGCAGTCGGGTACCAGATGGCACCCGTCCGAGGGCACAAACAGCCCTGGCTCTCAGCGCAGGGACAAGCAGACGGTGACCAGCATCCCCCAGCACTGCCAGGGCTGAGTTGCTGGAGAAGCTCGTGAGTGGCCAAAGGCAGCTGTAAATAACGAAGCAGCAGCCGCAGCCTGGCTCTGGGCAGCAGCTGCAGCTCTCTGCTCAGCCTCTAGCCTGGAATTTCAGCTGAACACAGGCAGAGTGGCCAGGAGGAATGGGGGGCTAGCTGGAAATCCCAGGACCTGGGATTGGGGGTGGCAGAGATGAGCTTAGTCCTCCCTGGCCGGGAGTGGAGCCAGCTCGACCTGGTGCTCAGGGGGTGAGAGGGACCATCCTCAGAGTGCTTATTGCAGATAATACAGCGTGGCCATGGCTAGCAAAGACCCTGCACCCCAACCTCCA